TTGGGCCTAAAGTGGGGCATATGCCGGAGAAGGTTATTCGTTGAGTTTCTCTCGCGTAGATCTGCTTCAAGCTATACAATTCATAATTTACAGTCCCTGCCGGTTGTTCTACAGATACGACCTTTTTCTCACCATCGCCTGAACGCCCCTCCTTGCTCCGGATAAGAGAACGAACTCCGCCGGTATGGACCGCCTTCGCCAGCATCCGATCCATTTGCCTTAGGTACTGCATGCCGTTGCAGGATTATAGTACACGGTACAAACTGGCGGAGTTCGTTTCCCTACTCCTTCCTCCTTTACTCTTCACAACTAGCGTGTGTCAGTTTAGGTTGTGTAAATTGAATTTGTGAAGAATGGAATTTGTCAGTCCACATTTGTCTAATCTAAGTTTCATGTACATTGTGTGAAATCTGCATTTTCTGAGAATTGCATATTATCTTACTGAAGTACAGCTTACGATGCATAAATGCACATTACAGTTTATTGCAGGTACTGTTTCAAAGCAGGTAGATAACGGGTACACGATAAGAAATGATAGTATCGTAAGGAGAGACCCTTGTGTAGGGTTACTCAAAGCATATAAAGGCTAACATTTAGATTTTATATACTGAGTTTGAGAAGTTCAACAGAGCTAAACAGCAAGTATTATATTAAAAAGCTTAGAATATGTGACTGGGATGTAGGAATGGACAAAAGAGTTACTGCGATGTAGCCAATCGCAGTGCAGATTGTGGGAAATGGACGCGCCAACCGTTATCCCAATGCACGCTGCAACAGACCCTTGAATCAGCCTAAAATTAGCAGATGTTTGCTTGTAAATTTTGAGAAACCACTTCATTACCTTTGTCACCCTTCCATTCATGAATTGCATTCGATGTTTCACGTGCATCCACTCATCATAGCGGAAGTTGGGAGGTACATCTAACGGACAGCCGCACGTCTTCGATCCACAGTCTTTACAATCGGAACAATCTACAGACGTGGGACATGTCTTTCTATCATTATATTCATACCTGAAGACGTCACGAAATCAAGTTTATTTGTCTAGGGAAAAACATGAAAAAACAATACTTTACTACACACAAATCGGGTTATCTAAACGTCACCTTACAAAGAATCTCCAGTATGCTTCCACGGCGCTACTCTTCCACTCTACCCAATCACCCACATGGAGACCGGGTGCGCACATGTCGGCAAGTTCAGGTAGATTATAGAACTGCAAAATGAATGAGATGCTGTTTCTATAACCAAGAAATTCACCTCAGCCTCCCTTCGGAGACACTCCCGTGCATCAAAGTCTGTGGGAACTGCAAAATTTTCCCCATCACGCAAATAGTCCAGTATCTCAAACATCAATCCGTAGTTGATAAAGCTCAGAAAATAAAATTTGTGTCATACTTTTGCGAAGTAAGTCGGACTTCGATCCACGAACAATTCGTCCGCACTATTTCGCCAGCGATCCGCTACCATGGCGGAGAGCACCTGCACAGCTTCTATCATCGAAGGATTAGGACAGGATAAGATTTTGGTTACAGTATTTCCCAGTCTTGTGAGCGTGGTCACTGTGGTTTCGAAGACAGTTCCACCTACATTGATCTTTACACGACCACCACTCTTTACCAGTTCGCTCATGTCTACCTGGAAGTACGTCCATTACTGCAAGCTGTAGAAAGTTGGGATCGCAAAGCTTACCTCCGTCGCAGCTACCATTTTCAGTGTATACTAGTTCGCGTTTATGTTAATGCATGCCTAGCTGCTGCAGTGCCAGCTAAAACGAGAGCACTTTAGGCGGGTCCCTGTGCGAATTTAACATTGCGTAACTTTTAATATTCGTTTGGTCGCAAGTCCTGCAACGCAAATCATAGTTTTGAGAAGGGCTACATGACCCATGAGTTTTACTGGTGGTGCTTCCTAAATGTGAGACGCTGAACATGCGCTTGTAATGCAGAAGGATTAGGCAAGGCGGTCATGGCAAAACGAAGAGTGGATACCTTTGGCAGTTCTAATAAAAAGCTTAGCAACGATCTCCGCTGGTGAAGCAAATAACGGTGATCCGACTTACTGTTTCGGATGTGTGCTCCGTTTGCAATGCTGCCTTATTTTGGATTCTAATACGTTTGTACACTTACAACTGGCATCATTTAGAATTTATCAATGCGACGTTAGTTAAATCAACTTTGGCCGCAGGGCCGTTTGCCAGTAATTCAAGTGATGAAAACATGTTTGAGACACTCGCCATCCTATCAGAAGAAATTGAATACTAACACCGTGAAATCTTGTGGATAACCGGGAGTGAACCGACGAAGGTGCACGGCTGCTTTCTCAAGGTTAAATATGAGCCTTACAAAGGAAGGATACTTGGATGCCGTGGCCATTCATAATGATTT